CTATTCATATATGGATCTTTGAATTTATACAAGGATTTGAATCCTTCAGGGATTCATATAAAATTTCACTATAAAGTGAGTCATACGTTATAGTTATGTATTTCTAAGACGCACATGAAAAAAATTTCATTTATTACCAGACTGCCAGATTGATAAGACATGTAATTTAATCCACCACAAGACTTTATTTCTTTTTATATTGTACAAATGTCTATTTACATAATACTAGCATTACACTTCAAGTGCATAGGCCAGGGATACACAAATCCCTGTTACATTGCATCTTTTCTTTTTTGTTGGCCAACCATTTTTCTGTCTGTATCTTATGACAGATTTATATATAAGATCCTCATTTGATCACATGATATCATCAATAAAATTATTGTCGACAATTTTATTCCTTTATCGGTCCCCTTTTCTTTTATGACATAACATATCGAGATCTCTTTATTGCTTTCAGACACTTAAACCTTTTCAAGGGTCAAACAATTGTGTCTTAATCTCTTTTGCAATTCATGCCTCCTTAGTATGATCATCATGATCATTTGCTCCTTTTTCTTTTCTTTTGGAACCGATCATAATCTCATGCTTTTAGCATGTCTTCAAGAACAGGAGCACTTTTAGTTGGAATATAAGAATTAAGAATTCTTATTTTGATCAGTAATTATATTTGGTAGATATTAATAATATTTTATGCATGCAATACTTTATGAACTTCTAGTTCATACTACTATATTTGAAGATTTACATTTGATAGTAAAAATGCATTCTATATATTCTTTTTTCCAGCTACACATTTTCTCCCCCTCATATTGGGAACATATAATGTAGATCTCCTAAATCCATAAATCTCTTTTAGAAACATTATTTTGTTTCATTTAGAGACAAACAAGAATAAGGAGATTTTATCCAACAGTGATCCCAACTTACTTTTAATATCCATCTATGTGCGTTATTGCGGTGGAATAATAGGTATCACACATTTTAAGATGAAAAATGTCTGGCTGCTAACCAAAAGCCAATTATAATAGGAGAATTCACAATACATTGTTGGCTTGATGCATTTATGTGCAAACATATATAAAATCAATCATCCCAACACTCAAATGAGAATTCTGTTTTCATAAACTCTGATCTAGCTACTCATGGAGGCTTTTACTAAGCATATAATCATCAGCAACATGAGGAACAATCACTAGCAATCTCAATGAGAATCATATTGATTTCATAGTAAAGAACTTATATACTCAATGTAATTATCTGAACATATTTGCAAACTTCAAGTTGCAAGTTGATCATAAACACCAGCGACCATTTTATAGATGCATCTTTCACTTACAGAATATTACTTTAGTCCACATGGTGTCTAAATGGGCCTATATATAAAGTTGATACATTATAGATTTGTACGGATCCGATTCTGAGCATAGCTAGTGATGTTCTCTTTGAGAACAAACAACACATAAAAATTCTTGAATTATATATCATTTTTAAAGAATCTTCTGGTTCTTTAATAAATGACAATGCACATTTTTCATGATATTTTGCATCATTATGATCCGGGATGATCTGACCGGTCATGTCAAACTATAAATGTATAAACTTCTGGTTTATTATAAAATTATTCTCAATTATTAGTAAACTTCTTGTTACCATGTCATATTATTCATTTTTCACCTTAATATTTCATAAGGAATATGCTATCAATTATAGATTTTATCTTCAGGATAATGAATCACGATATAGCTCTTCTAGAGCGTTATTTTTCATCTTTTACCTAATGGTAAAAACTTGTACACTCATGGAATGTTGAGCGCCACTGACTCTTCTAGAGCCTTTTTCAAAAAGAATATGAGATATAAGGAATGGCATTAATATTAATAATAACAAATTCCATTCAACATGATTCACACTTGTATTTCAACAATCTCCCCCTCAAGTGTGAGTCATATAAATATATTTTTCTTATTTCTGTATTTCAAATACAGTGAATAATATATAGTAAGCTAATAACATATCTTTAACTTGGAAATCCAAATGCTTCCTGATTCATATATCATAATAGATTTCAATCCAATTGAGCTATCACCTTAAGACCCTTTGATAAGCAAATATTCTAATATAAATGTTTGTGGGTCATAATTTTTCATTATCAATTTCTTTTTTGCCCACAAAAATAATGGGGGGAACTACATTAGTTATTCAAGAACTATATCGATTTTGTTACTAGTTCTTCAGGAACTATATCAACATTTTGCCATTAGTTTTTCTGGAACTATATCAATCTTTTGTTATTAGTCCTTCTAGAACTATATCAATTTTTTGATTACATATAGTTCTTTAAAAAAAAAATGCTATATATAGTTCTTCAGGAACTAAAATATATTATTATTTCACTATATGATATACTTCACTTTTTGTTATACCTTTTTTTTTTCAAAATATGAAGTATTTTTTTTAACAATATATATATTTTCTTGATATTTCGTTATTCAAATAATTTATTTCTTTGTATATATTATGTAATGCTTCAAAACTTATCCATAAATTTATAAATTCAACAAAAAAAATCTATAAGGACTAAAATCAAACTATATAGTTAGGAAGATTTGAATCATAAGCCTTCAAGGCTATTTATAAGTCATTAGTCTTCAAGACTCTATATTGGAAATTATATATATTTTTAAAGATCATTTGTGTCACTTCATATTTAAACCATAAGCCTTTAGGGCTTTAAAAACACCATAAGTTATTATTTTCATGTCATTCAATAACATGAGTGTAATAGCTGCTGGCCATTTAGTAATAAAAAAATTATAATATTAATAAATATCAAATTGAATGTCAAAAATATATGAGAATAAGATAAAAATAAAACTTGAATTTGAAATTAATTAAATGTAACATGAAATAAAGAGAAAAGATAAACTCTTTTACCATACATCCTTCACTATATAGTCATTAGTTTTTTGGGTTACATTATGTAACATCCCATTTTTTTAATTTATTTTTTATTTGTTTGGGGACTTAGTACGGGTAGTGTTATATATAAAAATTATTATAAAATAAAAGAGAAGGGAAACAATATATTTATATGTAAAGATTAAATAGAAAATAAGAGTCTGAAATAATTAAAGAGAGCTATGTATAAATATTTAAACATAAATAAAAAGGGGATCAAATATTTAAAAATATATATATTTAGGAAAGAATGATTTAAATTTTAAATGTACTATATCTGATAGGATTTTGATAATAATAAGAATAATAAGTTAAGATCAGATAAGGGGATAGAGTTTAAATTTTATAAATTCTACAAATACCCAAGAACCTAGTTTCTATCTCATTGGTGGCTGCCGCAACTTGATCGCTCTGTAGGTACCTTCTCCTTTGTCCTTCCCTTTCTTTTGTATTTCTTCTCTTATGTATTCCATCCTTTTGAGCCAAACCATCAGTCTGCTTGTCTCTTGTTCTATTCCTCTTTTTTTTTCACAGCAATCTTGACCGACCTTCCTTGTTCTTTCTGCAATCGACAAATGACAGGCATTGTCTTCTCTCAAAGGTATATAAACATATATTATTTCCTCTCTCACACACTCCTTATATATACACACACACATGTGAGCGCATATCCCCACCGCTCCCTCTCTTTCTTTTCTACAATCTTCCCACCTTCAATATGTGTTCAGGTGTGTGTCGATCACTATATACCCGTCCATTCATCAAGTTGTAGCCATATGTGTGTGTGTGTGCGCGCAGATAATTTAGTATTACATGAATGAAGTAAAACACTCATGGCATGAGCTATGATCAAAAGGATGGAGTTCGGTAGAGTTTTCGGGGCTATGTATCTATTTATTTATATATATATATATGAATGTTTAGAATAATTTAGTTACCTTGCCCATTTTACGTTTCAAACTCAGAATATGAACAAATAGAATAAAACACATAACTAATGATTTTGGATTAGAGATAACTTACTCCTTTTCGGCTAGTCATTATTTCTTTCTCCAATACATATATGTACATATACATGATATTTTCATCTCTCAATAATTTTATATCTCCTGTAGGAAAAATATATATAATAATAATAAAAGATTTGAGTAGATTATATACAAGATCATCTCTTGTCCTATAATTGATTTAAAAGAAGAAAATCTATAATAGATAATTAAATAGGTATAAATTATCCACAGGTTTTACTAAATATATTTCAAAATCTATACCTATTTAGTTATGAAAATAATCATTATCAATATACAACATCAATCTAGTTTATAAGCAAAAATCTGAAGGTTTGGAAAGTTCTAAAAGAATTCAAAACCGTCATATAATTTACTATTATAGTGAACTAATTAAATTAGGAAGCAATATGAATTTAAAAGAAGATTTATATTTCCAGGGATAAGTTATAAGACATTGGGATAACTTTGGAGAAACTTTGGTATAGGTCTAGGATAGACTTTTAATAGTTCTGAGCTATAGATATTAATATTATCGTATGTATGTGATTTTTGTAGCCTCTCCGTTGTTGAAATTTCTATTTAACTACTTGTGGCTAGAGGATAACATGTAATGTAGATTTCTACCTACTTTACTTGCTAGTGACTCCTATGAGTCCTTTAGGAAATATGGAATCTTTGGAGACATGTCTTTATCGTTTTGAGAAACGATTTGCTAGGAATCATGAAAAATTCTTCTGGAGCCAAAAACCAGCCTTGTGAGATGATTTTCTTTTTTTGCAAATGACCCATAGTTGAGTCTTACTATTTCATAATTAGTTTTCTTGGTTGTTGTTGATGCATGCTAGGTTATATGTCGTAATGCTACATATTGTGATCCTTGAGATATGATCCTATGAACTACTATACTATATGCCATTGTTGTGATATTTTATGATTATAAAATATAACTGTGGAAAATAAATATGGTGGAGGATTGATGGGATATGGTGTGACATTGTGACCAAGTGGTAGGCCGCTATATGGCGTTCTATGGCTTGCCCATACTACCAGGGCAGTAACCCTTGCCTTGCGACACTTCAGAGGTATCCTGTGGGCAGTAACCCCTTTTTGGAGGAACCCATGGCCCCTGTGTGCTCTATCAACTTTGGCCGGTCTGTATCACACTTGTGGAAAGCTTGCGAGAGTCAGTTATGATGTGGGTAGCAATTAGCCCATGGGTTCAGTCGGCAGTTATACAGAGGTTATAAGGTGGAACTGGAAAGTTAATATATTATGATAATGTCACAATTATGATGTATTTTATTTAATTTGAATATGATGATATAATGTGATCTTAAATGATATGCTTATCTACTCGCTATCCATATGCTGTTAGTAACTATTGATTTTGAACTGTTAGTCATACCTGGCATCTTGTAAGGGTACTAGTAGGTAAGGTGGGTAGGATTTATATTACTGAGACTGTGGTCTCATTCCATTACTTCATCAATTTCAGGTGAGAGCAGTAGGGGAGATGCAGCGGGGAAGGCACTGTAAGCGTGAGGTCACTTACACTAGTGACTGCGCTTCGATTCTAGAATTTATGTTTGGTTTACGTTTAATTGCCACCTAGGAGCCATGATGTTCTTTAGACTGTTAGTGGCTTAGTTTGGACTTGTTATTACTACTAGACTGTTTTGCTTCTTTAGCTATGGATATTTTTATTGATTGCTCTAAGGGCCTTTGACCCACAGCTGAACATTGCGGCAATTGCATCTGAATAAGTGGGTCATTTAGTGATGCTTTTCTTGTGATTTATTTTATATAATGTCTATGTTAACCAGGTATGTTGGGGATCTAAATAACCATGTTAGGGGTTGAGCTTTTTTTTCCCCCCCTAACATGGTTAAGGCAAGGAAGTAGGTATGATATTTTCTTTTTATAACCATGATATGTGCTTGGGTAGGGTATTTCTTTTTATATATCATGGTTATTCAGTGAACTGAAAAGAAAGTTAGGATTCTTCTTTTATGTACCTTAGTAAACATACGCATGTGCTACTTGTATATTTAAGTATGGCATAGTTTTATGTGGGATATTACACATTATTTATAATTCTAATTGTCATAATTTTTCTTTTATAAACAAACCATATAATGATCCTTCTCATAATCAAAACTATATGGCTTCATGCTATTTAATAAAGAAAATAAAGATACATGGCATCTAGCTATTTAATTTCAAAATAAAAAAAATTAAAGATATATGGTTTCTGACCATAAGATAAAACTTTGATGTTATATAGCTTCAAGCCAATTAATAAAATAACCAAATTAAATATTTATAACTTCTAGTCATAAGATAGAAAATCAAAATTATATGAATGTGAACCATTTGATAAGATAAAAGAAAATTTAAATATATATAAATGCCTTCTGGCTATAAAATAGAAAATTCAACATGATATATATAAATAAAGAAAAATTAAATATATATGGCTTCTAGCCATAAAATAGAAAATACAAATTATATGGCTTCTAGCCTTTTAATGAGATTAAAAAAAATTCAAATATCTATGGCTTTTGGCTGTAAGATAGAAAATCAAATTTATATGGCAACTAGCCATTTAATAAGATAAAACAAAATTATATATATATATATATATGGCTTCTGGCCATAAAATAGAAAATTCAAATTACATGGCTTCTAGCCATTTAATAAGGTAACAGTAATCAAATATATATGGCTTCTAGCCATAAGATGGAAAATTTATACCTAAATACTTTGAGTTATTTAATAAGATAAAATATCAAATATATAAGGCTTCAAGTTATTTAAAAAAAATAGAGAATTAACCCCATATATATGTGTATATATGGCTTCTAGCCATAAGATAAAAACTCAAAGTTATATAGCTTTTGGCTATAATATAGGAAATCAAAATCATATGGCTTTTAGCCATTTAATTTGAAAAGAATGGAAATTCTGAGTTATATGGCTTCTGGCTATTTAATTACAATGAGATGAAAACTTCGAATTATATGGCTTCTGGCCATTTAACTTTAGATGGTAAATCTTTACAGATACTGCTAGTATCTATTGGAAATTCGAGTTCTATCGAAATAGTGACGTCAGGTCAATAAGAAATAGAGGGGGGGAAAAATCTCCAACCATAGCCATGGAACCCGATGTTTAAAACAACGGTAGATAATCCTTTTGATTCCATATAATGGCTTTGATTATCCTAGATAAATTGAATAGGAATATGGATACTCTGAAACACCATATATATGATGCTCGAGGTATTTTTATTTGAACAGAGCAAATGATACTCTAGAAAAATAATAAAGATGTTGCTCTAAAATTATGATGGGGTAGAAAAGTATATCATACGTACCTTGATTAGAGCTTTGTGCTGATAACGTATTATAAATAAAGAAGAGATAAAGAAGAATCATACAAAAGAAGAGAGGATCAACAAGAGAGAGTATTTCTCATTCCATTCAAGAGTGCTCAATACATTATACATTGCCTCTATTTATAGGTACAGCTTTACACCTTCGATAGAATTTATAGATTACATGATAATATGAGATAATTGAGGGATATAGAGATAATGGAAGATATTAGAGACTATAGGGGATATAGGAGATAGTGGGAGATATATGGATATCCACAAAGATATTATTATATTCATAACAATTGCATATATTTTTTTCTTGCTATAAAGTACATTTTGTTTCATTTACTGACTTGTTTATTAAACAATTTGATAACGAAGTCCTAAAACTCACCTACGTTTTGTTTCCCTTTTTGTATAACTTATTTTCTTTATAAACAATTAGTACTACACCACTATATGCGGTACTTAATATAAGATTTAAATAACTAATTTTTAGATATTAAAAAAATTAATTAAGTTAATTATATATAATAAATGTGTAATTAATATGCATATTTTGAACAAAGATTATAAACTTGAAAGTCCAAGTGGATTGAAGTATTATATTTAAGATTAAAGTGAATTTCATGTCTAACTCCTATATTTAGGATAGGAGTTAGTACAGTACCTCTGTAACTTAGTTTGGACAAGCATATGATTAAAATGCTATGTATACATTAATTAAATGAAATAATTCGAAATTATTATTAATTGATTCGTTCAGCTCATATTTTGGTAATCCAATATTCCGGGAATATTGTAAAATGGAAAAGATGTTGATGTAATTCATTGACAATAAACAATTGGAAATTGAGTTTTCTTTACTTTGCATTGATCAACAAGTAAAATCAACATCGATATGTTCTACCAAAACCCCACCCCCCCCAAAAAAAAGGGAAAATGTATTAAGGTTTTACCTTAAAAAATAAATATAAGAAAATCCCTTAAAATTATTAAATTAATTTGAAGTCCCAGAAACCTCATTAATAAGACATTCTACTTATTCAATTACTAAACTATTTTTATTTTCTTTCTCAACTATAGATTAACAACTGAAAGAGCAGTCATTAACAATTTAAGCTGCAACAATTAACAGTTATTGTGGCAAGTATTAACAATATATTTTCTCAGCGCATGACATATAAGCATATTTAACTTGAAATCCTTGTGATGCACTGAGAACATGTGTTGAGAAAATATATTATTAATATTTGCGATGATAATTATTAATTATTACATATTGAGTTGTTAACTATTACCTTTTGAATTGTTAACGCATGGTACTAAAAAAAAGATTATACTTAAAACAATAAGACTGGTTTATTAATTAAATAAATAGAATCTCTTACAATAAATTCTTTTAAAATTTCATATTAATTTTATGATTTCAAAAATAATTTATTTATTTATTTTGATGAGTTATTTATTTATTTTTCTTGGATGAAATCTTAATGTACTCTCCCCTTGATTTTAGGGATAAAATCAATGTCACCGTCAAATTCAAAACTCAACAATTCCTCGAATGACCCGTTACCTGCACGTGTCATTCAGGCATAACTTTTTTGACTGTGGTTAATTACTTTACGTCTGCGAGTTTAATCTTGTTGGTCGATCTCGACGGACTAACTAGCAATTAGGACTATTACACTCGGATTAGTAATTATGAAAGTCGTCAAATTTATACATTTCATAATCAATATTTCAAAATTTGGTCAAAATGCTTAATACCGGAATTATATTGGAGATAAAACAAATTGACTTAGGTCTCCCGCATACAGCTAAAAGATGAAATAAAAAGAGGGTGAATAAACTTCGTTACTTGAATGATTTGAAAAAAACAAAAGCCTTAGATCTACATCAGTTAATAGATGAATTTACAAATACACATACTGCAACACCTCACTTTTATATACTAATAGGATCATTTTAACGTCTGTGAATCACTAACGCCAGGTTTCCATCCTGGGAAAAGACAAGGATTTTTTTTTTCTTTAACATTAGAATCCGTTGATCAAATATTTCAAAGCTTCAGATAACTGATGAGTGATCCAATTTCAACCCTGCTTTCAACTTAATCTATTATCATCTAAAATAATTTCATACTATACAATCTTATAATATTATATTAGAAATAAAGCAACGCTCTTGGTTGACAGCATATAAGTGCACCTGGCAATGCTCACCTCTTTCTTCTAAAGGATACAAAATAATATTTCCATAAAGCAAGTAAAGTTACTTGCCCGAATATTTTACTATACAATTTACAGAATTATAACAGGTATCTCTGCTCTTCAACCAGCCCATCTTCTTCTTAAATAACCTCCTTGTCCTTCAGGCTACTAGCTTTCACTGTTCATCATAAATTGGGGGGTGAGATTCCGAAGAATCCCCGTAGTAGTAATTTCCATCAAACAAATGTGCAGATCACATAAAGCATGCAAAACAAGCCAAAGTGGAACATAACCTTGCAAGCTAATGCAAATAAGCATTTATGTGCAATGACAGATAGAAAAGCTGAATAAATAATGCGCGAATACCTGGCAATCACTGCCCCATGTCTATTAGATAAGCTGAATAAATAATGCGCTAATAATTGGCAATCACTGCCGCGCATATAATTGGCAATCACTGCCGCGCATATAATTGGCAATCACTGCCGTGCAAATAATTGGCAATCACTGCCGCGCATATAATTGGCAATCACTGCCGCGCATATAATTGGCAATCATTGCCCCATGTTTATCAGCTGCACGTGGTCACGGCTAAAAATCCATGCAAGGAATTAAGGATTACATGTTCTCATGCTTTAGAAAAATAATATGGCACAAACAGACATGCAGCAATCATACATAAGTGTAAGGTAGGAAAGAACTACTACATGGTCCGCATCCCTCCAAATCAAACCTTACCGTTCTCCTTTCTTTCTGCTTCTTGGTGGGCTTGAGCAGATATAAAAACCTATCATATTAGTAAGGGTAGATCAGTACTTGATCCAACTGTATCTCATAAATTAAATAACTCTTTAAATCCCAAATCTTCTTTAATCTCTACCCTTACGTAGCAGTTGATCATCTGGACAATTTTTCTTATTCAACTATTCTCTTGGGAAGG